CAATGGTGTGCATGTATTGCAGAATCAACGGGGAAGAAACTGGACCTTGGAAAATCTATTAAAATAAAATTTTGGGAAAAGAAAATTAAGAAATCTGATTCAAACGAAATGGGACTAAGCGCTGAAGTTGTCAAAAACAGCTTGAGTTTGGTAACGATTATAAACTCATTCTTGGGCTAATTTTTCCCACTTAACCTAATTATTATTTGCCATTCTTTTAATTAAAGAAAGGGAAATAAAAAAATGTATGAAGAATTAAATAAAAAATATTAAATTTTAAAGGGAAGAACTGTTAACAAACCATTAACTTTTGTACTTATTATTGTAGCCGCCATTGTGGCCTACCTCCTTCCATGCTCTTAAACAGCGACATGATAAAAATAGGAAAGGTGTGGGTGTTTGATATGGATCCACAAATATTATAATAATTAATTACCATGAATACTGATGCATAGTTTACTCACACGAGGATCGAGGAACACAACACTCTGCAAAACAAAACCAGAAACATAAACACGATAACACAGAGCATGCATGGATACACTGCAATAAAATAAAAACACAGCTGCTCATACACCCAGAAGGTTGAATTACAAAGTAATTTTTATATTAAAAAGGAATGGAAATGGTAAAATATAAATTTTATATATAATTCACGCGGTGTGGAAAAGTGAACGGGTTGATCATATTGGTAAACCATGAGAGGTTCAATTATTTACCAGGAAATAAATAAAAAATAAATATATAGCACATGGGCAGTGGCCCCCTGGATTTGATATGTCTGCAGTTGATATTCGTTGTTGGTTTTTAAATGTTACCATGAAATGCAATGCAAGTTTAAATATAAATATAATCTTATATATCTATAGGCTTGAAAAATATAAGATAAATATATATTGAAAATAAAGTGATTTCCAACAACAGAAATTAACAAATCAAAGCTGCATCATAAGTCATCCTTAGGCTTTGAAGCCAAAAAGGAAGTAAAAAAAAAGGTATTCTCTCTCTTACACCATTAGAGCTTTGAATATTCTCCAGAGAAAAAAATACAATATTTTTCATCTCTTCAAGTTCGACGAACATCAAAGTCAAGTCAAGAATGGCCTCTAACATCTCCATTGAAATCTGCAACACATTGCTTCTTTCATGAAAACCAGAAAGAAAGAAAAAAAGAACAACATGGTTATCTTCAACTTCCAAATGGAGTAAATTAGGGAAGAACAGACCAAATGAAACACATAATCTTGCGGGCAAATCAAGAAGAAGATAGAGAAAAGAAAGCATCAAAGAAGGGCAAAGACAAGTTAGCGAAACATTGAAGCCAATGAATATGAAATATAAACAATTCCACCAAATATCTACCATATTCACAGTATATGGTAAAAACCTGCTGGAATTGTTCAGATTCATATTCATTGTCTTCAAAGTTTTCTCTAACGTTTGCCTTTGCGCTTCTCTGATACTCTACCTTTTCCTTTTCATTCATTTTCTCGTCCATCAAGTTTTCTTTCTCGGGTCATTTCTCTTCTTCTTCTTTTAGCCTGCACTATTATGCACCCCATTTGATGTTCTTCGCATGAACTTTTTGTTGTCTGGTTTGAAGTTTCATGGCATGTAGCGTTTATATAAGATTTTCGACACGGATTTTACACGGTTTAGAAAAAATATATATATAAGAAGAGGGTTGCAGGTGAAATTAGGCGACGCGGTTGATTCTAGGAATTTTAGGTTCTCAACTAACACACATAATTGAGTAAAGACCTATTCTTTTTTTCTGTTCTTTTTTAAATATGTTTCAAGTCTTGTACTTGCTTAATTTTCCTTATTATTATTGTTGTTGAGAAATTATTTAAGCTTATTGTTAGTGAAAAATTGCAAAAACAAGCATATATTAATGTTTTGTTTTATTATTTCTATTTCACTCTTTATTTATGTTGAGGGAGAGTTATGTTGAGACAGTTTTTAGTGATTTTTTTCTTTTAATTTGGGTGAAAGAGTTATAATTAATTTTACAATAGGAAGATAAAAGAGGATAAAAGGGTTGATTTTTCTTTTAATTTGGGTGAAAGAGTTATAATTGATTTTACAGTAGGAAGATAAAAGAGGATAAAAGGGTTGATTTTTCTTTTAATTTGGGTGAGGATATCACGTACCTATTGTGAAATTCGATTTTTTTGTAATCATTTATTTATTAATTACATTCATTTTAAAATTTTAATTGTGCTATTGTATACAAAAATTTTATATAGTTAATATATGTGTCCACCCTTAAAAATATTTATAAATATGTTGCATGATTGTAAATGGCTTTAAAAAGAGAAAAATATATGGTGGAGTCATATAGAAAGGGGTGATGATCAGTATATGTAGACTGATAGGGTAAGTAGATCGAACAAATAGATATAGTTATTAGATAGTAGATTTGATTCTGATAGATCTCGTGGGTTTAACAATAATCATATTAGGAGGTTGTTAATTATCTGAAAGATGTAAAATTCTGAAGATTTCAAAGAACTCCGAAAAATATAGATCTTCATAGGATATAGAACTTTAGAGTAACTATGAATATCTCAATGCTCGACAGACGAAGGAACAACAGTCAGGTATTACTTTCAAGAGATCCAAAAAATATAACCCATTTATAATTTTTTAAAATGTGTAAGATTATTTTATACTATTATTTGTTTATATAAATTAATATCATATTAATGATAATTTCATAAATATGTAATTAAATTAAAAATTGAACTAAAAGAAGTATACGATTATAAATAATAAATTATGAATCATATTATAATATTCTCTTAATTTTATTTATCATGATAATAAATATTTTTACTTTAAAATATTGTATGATATTATGGAACTTATAGTTGGTTGTATAGCAAGTAATGTGTTACACGTAATTTTAAAGTAATAAACACTAAATTTTATGGCAATTATGATCCGGTAAAAAAATATTTTATATGAAAATATATTTGTAAAAATTATTCAATGAATGATCATGTGTAGTGTGGTAAAAATAGAAAATGAGAAGATATTCACACAAAAATAAAAAAATAAAAAAAAATCTCAGTTGTCTATTTTCAAACATTCAATGATTCTAAAAGGATGAAAAATATCAATATTTGTGTTGTTTTCAATTTTACCCTTAATATTATCGTATCATATTAACATAAATATTGATGACTAATTACATGTTAGTTAATTATCTAAAATGAGTTTATTTTTTAAAAAGTAAATTTAAAATATTAAAGTACTCCAAAAAAATTAAATATTAAAACATTTTAAGAGTGTAATTGAAGAAAATAACCAACATTAATAGAATTTTTTACCACAATGCTTATACAAAACATATGTTAAGGTTATAAGATCGAGTATTGTGAAGGTTTATTATGAGAGCGATCCTCCCAATTTAATTTTTTTCAATTCATAATATCAAGATTCTTACTTAAGAAATCAACAAAAGTGATGAACAACAAAAGAGTTAAGTAAAGAAGGCTATAAGAGAGAAGAAAATGGAAGAAATAAGTGAGGAACAAAAATGAAAGGGCAAACCCAGAGTTTGAAGGCATTAAATTATAAAGTGTGGAAAATTCCAACTCCTCCTGCCTTTCTTATTCAATTTTGTTCCTCTCTCATTTCTTTCATTTGCTCAACACGTGCATTCTTTATCGTCTTTTGTAGGGCTTGCGATTCTTGATATGCAGAATGTCGTTATTTATTGTGGGGAAAACGAACTGTGCATACGCGGAAAACGAGACGTTTTCAAGTTGTTGGAGTTAAATTACTGGGGCAAAGGCATGAAATTAGACAGAAACCCGACAGTATAGGCATTCTATAGCTTACGTTGCAAGTACGTATCTCAACCACCATCTAAGAATATTCCCAACACTGTTCGCGGAAAAGACACTTGTTATGCAATTAAAGAAGCAACAACAAATTGATTCAATACGATGAATAAATATATACTCTTAATTAGACAAAAATAATAATAATTTTTTAATCGAATCAATTAGATACTCTTAATTAGACAAAAAATAATAATAATATTTTTTATCAGTATGTGATGATTATAAAATAGTATATATTGAAAATTTTCTTTATTATTAATAAAGTACTCACACCTTACTAATACAACGGTTTAAACCTAAATCTTTTAAAAAACAACTTTTTCAAACAATAATTTAAAAAAGAAAACAATTGAACCTAAAACCAAGAAATTCTATAATATATATTAGAGAAAATAACCTCAGTGACCAAAAATCCCATATAATATACGATTTTAACCAACTTTTTCTGGATTTGCCAAAATGACCAACAAAATCGTAATGCGATCTATAATTCGCAACGCGATCTCCATTATCGCAAATCAGTTTCCAGATTCGCAACACGATTATGACTATCGCAATGCGATTTTTCAATTTCGCGTTGCGATTTTCCCAATTCGCAATGCGAATAAGTAAATCGCAAATATTTCATATATTCACTACTTCTCTTAATTATCTAAAGCCAAGTATTGGACTAATGATGTTTCTCTAAGTTAATTAACGATTTTTATTTTAATTAAAATATTTTATTATATAATAAAAAAATAAGAATCAAAATAATTATTTAAGAAATTTAACAATATAAATTTTAAAAAAAACCTAAAATTATTTATTTATTTATTTAAAGACACGCAAATTAATTAAATTAATCTTCAAAACTCCAAATTGGTAAACAGTGCCAGTAATCATTTGTCCTCTTTGCCTCCATGTTACCCAACATCTGAAACCGCGCCGTTTGCCAGCTCATCGTACCGTTCCCCGTTATTTGTGCACTTTCCACGTCATGACATACGGTTCCATTGACGCTTCTTCTTCTTTTTCTTTCCATTATTACTTATCAGTTCCGTTAACCGTCAAAACTAACGTCGTTTACGGTTTACCCCTTGCTCCGGATATATTATTATTTTCCGCCTTCCTCTTCCCTATTCATATTTTATCGTCTTACAAATTTTCATTTTCCTCCTCGTCCTAAAAAGCTATCATTTTTTTCTCTCTATTTGCTTCTATCTATCTCTCTATCGTCCAAGAATTCATGTCGGTATGCAATCATTTCTGGGTTTTCAATAAAATTTCTGTCAAAATTTGTTGATAAAAGGTTGAGTTTTGTTGTTTGATTTGATTTCTCTTGTTCTTAATGGTATTTGAGCTTCTGAGATTGCTTTGATTCATATGCTTTTGGGTTTTTGATTATTGGTTCTACTGTATTTTCCCTTTCCTTGTAAAAATGAATCAAGCTTGATGTAGTTGCTAATCAAAGTTTTTCTCCCTGAGTGGGCACGTTTTGTTTTCTATGATTAATATTTGACCCTGTTTTATATCTTTTCGGTTCCTGTTTTCTTTCATGAGCTTTTCTGGAAATTGGTTTTGATCTTTTTATTTTGTTTAATTCGATCGATTTTCTTGTGTAATAACGTGTTTCTGGTTGAAAATTTGTTTCTTTTAAAAGTAATTTCATTCAATAAGAACTCTGGAAGCTGGAATTTATATTTATGTTGAATGAAAATGGGATGCATTAGCAAATATATTTGAGTTATCTTGGCATGATTTCAGAATCTCGGTCTTATCAGGAACCAGAAAAGCTCAATTAATTTACCATTAGTTTTGTGTTGAAAATGTAGCTTCTGATTAATTGTTGAATCCCGTTAGTAAGGCGTGAGAAGTTAGGATTGCCTTGAAGTTCTTTGAGAACGTATCAAGAATTGGAATATTGATTAGCTTTTTTCAGGAATGTTTGATCTTCTAATCCGTAGATAACAGCTTGACCATTGATGTCATTAGCCTACAAAATTTGTTCATATTCCGAGATCTACGGCAATGTTTATTTCGAAGGATGTGGCTAATTTATGCTTGGATTTCAATGACTTGATATAATTTGATTGTTAGTTTATGTCTCTTCGATGTTGTGGTCAATTCCGTTTTATACTGTTTCAAGATAAGTTAAGCTTTTCACTGTATCTCCACGAATGTGATCATTTCAAGTATCCAGCTGTGGTTTTTGATAAATGTTATATGCTTTTTATGTGGAAACTTTTTTCATGTCCTCCAATGATTATTGTGAATTGTGCTCAATAATTGCTCATTTGTAAGGTACTTCTTTAACTGTTTAATTCGTTGTATTGTTGCTATCTCAGGTTGTCTTTATTCCACTGCTGTACTCGCAAACATTTCTTTTTGCAAAATAATTGTCACCAATCAATGATATAGTTTCTTAGAACAGTTGTTTTGTGAACCATTTATGATTGTTTTTGTTAGTCATATCCCATTTTGAATGTAGCTACAACGGACTGCGGTCTGTGGTCTGTTTAAGTCCATAAATGAGTTGTAATAATTCCAATGGTACAGATAGGCTTGTTGTTTGCCCTCAATATTGCAAAGCTTGCAAACTAATTTGCGGTTGTTGAATAAAACTTACTTTATATTAAGCTGAAACTGAAGTTATGTGAGAGCCTCATAGTGTCAAGGAGCTCTCATTTATAGGAGCTTTTCTGGCATATATGAGATAGAGGTTGGTGGTTTTTCTCAGTGATGTTTATATTTAATCGAATGTGCTGCATTCTATTCGTATCTATCTATGAAGTGGTTGCTAGTTCAGAACAAAATAGATCGGCAGTTGTGTTTCAATTATTTTCTGAAATTTAGAAGCAGATAATGATCTGGAATGTGTTGCATTTTACTTTTATTTTTGCTCCTATAGGATAAGGGTCGGCCATTGCCAAAATTTGGTGAATGGGATGTCAATGATCCTGCATCAGCCGAGGGATTTACCGTGATCTTTAACAAGGCAAGGGACGAGAAGAAAACTGGAGGAAAAGTCGAACCACCTTCAGGAGGTAATAATAATGGCAAGCCTGGAGCAGAAGCCACCAAAACCCAGCCTATAAGTAACCTCTAATGTCTGAACTTCTTCACATCGGAATGCATATACTAGGCAGTGGCCATAACTCATAATTGTTATAAACTATTGCTACTCTCGATTTCTATCCTGATTCGGTGCTGTTTTTTTTTTTCTTCAGAAAAAATGGCTTTGCTGCATGCACGCCCCGCCTGCAGAATCTTAAAATATCCCTGCCTATAATAGAGCTTTCCACAAGAATGTTCAAAACCCCACCATCCCAAACAAGATAGAACCCTATAGGGCTGGAATAAGCCCTTCTGGAATTTTTATGTTTTTTTTATACTTTTTTTTAATATTTAATTTATGGTGTAAAATTTGATTTTGGTGGGATGAAATGAAAGAGTAAAGAAGACAAAGAAACACATGTATGTATGTATGTATTGATTTGGTGGGTTATATATTATTAGAAACTGAGCTATTTATTCTCTTTAATTGTCATGCTTGTTGAAAGGGTTTATTTTCGCTTTGAATTTTTTTTTTCTCACTAAATTGTTCCCCCCCCCCCCTTGATATCACTTAATAAATTTTAATTAATTTTTAACTTCATGGAAATAACACAAATATTAAATGAATACACAAATTGTCAAAGTGTATGTTATAATATTACTTATTTAATTTTCCCAACAAGAAAATTATTCCAGAAGCAATTATGACTGTAAACGCCATGTTTCCTACAGATAATTTTCATGTGCTATTATTATCCACCCTAAGGTGCCATATCAAGTTACACCAGATTAGTATGCCACAACCACATCTGATTCGATAAGATGCAGGAAAGCTCTGCTATTACATAAGATAATTGAAATACCACAAGGCCTCTCGTTCTAATGTCGTTGATTAGCATTTTCCTGTCAAAGTGCCGACTTTCCAGTAACACATTGACAACAATTTATGTAATCAGTAGTATGTAAAAGATCTAATCACCGTTTACTTTGACGCCATTTAGGGAGTTGCATATACCATTTTGGTCTGCAAGCTTCTGGAACTCAGATTCGATGGTTTCTGCGATCTTGGCATCTTCTGGATCCAGCTCTGGAAAATCTACATGAACTGATCCCTGTTTGATTGGCCTACCAGTCTCTATAAGTGTAGCTTCTTGCTTTATGTAATCGTAAAGCTGTCGATGATAGGTGTGGTCCAATGAGAAGCAATTATCTATGGTTCCGTTGCTGCTGCTGTTTCGTGATGACCCGGAACCTTCCTTGTGACAAAAATGTGGAAGGGATGAATAATCCATTACCTGCATAGTTGGAATGAATGTGTCAAAAAGTAGTAAGAAAACAAAATCACAAGAGGAACCGCAGCTTATCAACTTCAGGAGTTGCATGATCAAGGCTCTTCTCTGCTTTCTCAACTTCTGATTTCAGCTTATCAATTTCAGCAGAAAGCTTACTTTCTTTCTCCCATAAGGACTTCCTTTGATCCTGCAGCTTATCTCTTTCTGTTTTCTGAGAATTAAACCGAGACTTGGAAATTGAAGATTCCAACTCTTTGATTTCAGCTTTGCGTCTTTCAATAGAACTATCCAAGCGTTCCAACTCCTCATTAAGCCCAAAAATTTCCTCCTAAAGCTTTTTTTCCTGAGATGAATTTGAATAAAGCACTTTTTCCAAATCCTCAATTTCCTTTTGAAGCCATTTATCACGAACAGCTTTACTAGAAAACTGAATAGCACGACCTTGTTTCTTATAGAGGATGCTAAGTTGCTTTTCACGCTCCATGATCCCTTTTGTTATATTCTCCTCCTTTTTTAATTGGTTGTCATAGAGCGGTTTAATCCTGTTAAGCTCCTCTGTTGACTCTTGTATTTCATTCTGCAGCATTTGAAATTGTTTGATTGCATCATCTTTGGCTTGCATGTTGCCATACATCCTCTCTTCTAAATCTTTTACATCAATCTCAAGTGCAGTTTGCTTCTTTATTGCTTCTGCTTGTTGAATTTCCAACATATCTTTATCTTTGTTTAAACCTTGAAGCTCCTTTGTTAGATCTTTAGACATCTTTCTCAATTGATGATGGTTTCTCCTCCATCCTGTATCATAGTAAGTGGAAATTCTCTTTCTTAGTGCATCTGGAATCTTCATTTGATTTTGATGTTGATGTCCCTGTTCAAAATTTAAGTCAGCCCTCATAACAGCCTTGTCATCTTCCATGGTTTGTTTCTACTGCAGCCGTGAATCAACCTTCATGGAACCGGTGATGGATGGGAATACCACATGATCTATTCTTGCTGACATTTTATCAAACACTTGCGAAACATCATATGTTTCTTTTATTGTCACTGATAATATTTTTTTAAGAGTAAAGAAGGGTTTAGACTCATCAAGTGAAAACTGACCCTTTTTTTTTTCTCCATTAATTTGTTCAGTTTTCGGGCTTAGTGGTTCCTTATCATCTGTCCTGACAAGTCCTTTAGAATCTCCTCCAAACGACCCTTGTTCATTGCAATCCTTGTCTCCAAGTACTGATCTTGCTTCACTAGCTTTGATAAGTCTTCAATCTGCTGTTGAATCGCAGAAAAAACAGATGATGCAACCATTGCTTTGCCATGAGTTGTGACTCTGAATACCAATTGTAATGACTTAGATAGATTAGGGAAATAGAGAAGAAGAAAAGCAGAGATAAAGCAGTAGAAATCTGAATTCATTCAAAATATGTCTGATTTGTTCTTTACACATTAATGTTTTATTTGCTTACAATGTACCACAGAATCTAACTAAATGACAGCTGTTGTCTTTGAATAATCGTTCTGTTATTTCCTCAAGTATTTTACCACTAAATGAGCTAGTTGATCTGTTTGTGGACTTCAACTCTCTTATTGGGTAATTGACTTCCCCAATTCACTATCAATCCCTAACCCCTGACTTCCACTTTTCCCAATTTCTTCTTCGCGTCCTTCGTTTCTTCTCCCTTCTCCCCCGATCGTGACATCACTTTCCATATCTTTTTCTCTCCGTCATCTTCTTGCTTTGTACAAGGTTCATAAGTGGATTTGACTGAAAATCTTTTATCTTTGTTCCATTTTTAACCTAGTGAATCATCTTGGAATGAAGCTCGTAGAGGTTTGATCTCTGTAATCTTTACAAGAATTCGTTGTCAAAGATAAGGCTTAATTTCATCCCACTTTTATTCACCTTCTTCATTCACCATGGAAGCAATTGATTTTGAATTTATGCTCAGCAATTCGTCGCCCGTGATATGGTTGTATAAAGAACCAATTTCTTGCAACCACGAATCCTTCCAAAATTTTGTTGACTGGTCGTTACCTATATTCCAAACTACTCCAGAGCGTACGTCCTCCCAAATTTTGGTTAGCCCTCTCTATAAATTTGAGCAATTGAACCCACAACTTGTTCTTGTTCCTGAGTAACTGGAATGCGACTTTCATGAGGAAAGCCTCATTTTGTGGTATTAGATTTCTCAATCCTATGCCTCTTTTCATTATTGGTTTACATAATGCATCCCAGTTCACAGGGTTGGTTCATTTCTTAACTTTCGAATGACCTCACACAAACCTCCTTATAATTCATTCTATTTCCAAGCATATACCTTTAGGTAAGGAAGTGGATTGCTTTATGTAGGAAGGTATTGTTGCCAACACCGCCTTGGCCAAGGTGATTCGTCTAGCTAGAGAAAGTTGTTTGGCTTTCCAACCACCCAACTTTGTATGCACCTTTTGCACTAGGTATTGGTATGTGGTTCTTATCACATTTCCATGAATTAGAGGCACTCCTAGGTATTTACCTAGATCTTTTACCTCCTTGAAACCAAAATCCTCGCTTATTGACTTTCACTCACACTCTGTTACTGTTGAACTATATTTTGATATCAAATCCTAATAGTTACATTCTTTGAAAAAAATGTTTGTTTTATCAATGGTAATTTTCTATCCGGAGGCTAAACAAAAGTGCTCAAGAACTTTTTATAACCTCTAGTTGGTTGGTTGATGCTTCATCAAAAAAGATCATATCGTCGATGAAGAATAAATGTGAAATCTTCAGACCATCCTTATTTGTTCTAAAAGGTTTCCAAAGTTTTTTCTGTACTTCCCCGTTTATTACTTGAGATAACCTCTCCATGCACATCACAAATAGGTATGGTGATAGAGGGTCGCCTTGTTTAATGGCTCTTGTAGGTTTGAAGGACTCTGTTATGGAGTCATTTCATAATACTTGTGTAGATAATGAGGACACACATTGCATGAGTGGTCTTCTTAATTTATGTGGTATTCCAATGTCCTGAAGTGTGTCGTCGATTAATGACCATTCTAATCGGTCATAAGCTTTTTTCAAAGTCATTTTTATATCACTTCTTGTGTAATGATAATGTTTTCCGTTATAGAGCGACCCAATACAAAGTTAACCTGAGTTTGGGAAATCCATTCTGGAAGGCATGGTTTGATCTGATTAACCAAGATTTTTGTAATTACTTTGTACAATACTCCACATAAGCTTATCGGTCGAAATTGCCTCATGTACTCTGGGGATTTGACTTTTAGAAGTAGGACAAGAAGTGTGCGGTTTAGACTATCATCTAGAGTTTCATCCTTAAAGAATTTTCCGACTAGTTGGCAAACTGATTCCCCCACTATCCTAATTCCATTGAAAAAATATTGCATGTATGCCGTCCATCCCCGGCGCTTTCCATGGATTCATCTCTAGCACTATTCTCCTGATTTCCTCGTTAGTGACTGGCAATAGTAGTGCTTAATTGATTTTTGGCTCAATAATTGGGAAATTTTTTCACACCTCGTACCCATGTCCGTTTACACCCGAACTAGTGAAAGGATTTTGGTAATATTCAACCGCCTCTGCTTTCAATTTCTCCTAATCGGTGCACCATGTTCCTTCTACTGTTTTAAGTGTCACAATCGTATTTTTCGTCTCCTATTCATAGTGGATGCATGAAAAAAATTTGGTATTCTTATCTCCATGGAGGATCCATTTTTTGTCTTGCCTTTTAGAACCAAAGTTTTTCCTACTGGTCCAGTATAATGTCAAGTTCTATTTTCAATTATTTTTCAAGCTCAATTAGAAAGTCTGAATATGCTTTTGTCCAATGTTTTCTTTATGCCTTTCAACCTTGCGAGCAGTTCCTTTTTCTTCCTGTAGATATGACCAAAGGTTTCTTGGTTCCAAATTGATATTTTAGCTTTGAATTTTTCCACATTCGTTATTGTGTCCTTATCCTTGTCCCAATTGTTTTCCAAGAACTCCCTGAAAAGAGGATGATCGTTTCATGCGGCTATAAAGCAGAATGGATGGTTTGTTTGTTCATTCTCTTATATTTTTGTTTGGAGGATTATAGGACGATGGTCTGACCCCATCCTATCAAGGTGTGTAACCAAAGAATTTGGATATTGTTTGAGCCAACCCTCGTTGGTTAAGCATCTATCCAACCTTTGATACAAGTTGCCTCTTTGCCAA